AGTAAAAGCACAGGTTGACCTGGTTTGTTGTGCAAGTATAATTTCCCTAAATTTTTGTTTCTATTTGTTTTCTATTTCAGTTGCTGAGACAGTGTAGATATAAGATTAGTTGGGAGTGGTGGCTACAAAATGTATTTTGAATTACAAATCTATAATTTTGGTACAGAAACCTTTATGAGTCTCACTTTAGGACAAGATACTCTTCCTTATGACCCCAACACTGTTACCTGAACACTAGAAAATTCCAAATCCTGAAACACAAAGAGAGAGAGATGTTGTCCAAACTTATTATACTGAATTGCAGGGCATCTAAACCCTACAGCAGACCTTTTTGTTTGTTTGTTTTTGGTCTTTTTGAGACAGGGTCTCCCTGTAGCCCCAGCTGGCCTGGAACTTGGTATGTAAGCCAGGCTGGCCTCGAACTCACAAAGATCCACCTGCCTCTGCCTCCCAAGTTCTGGGATTAAAGGCGACCACTACCACGCCCAGCTAGTAGACCTTTTAGTTCAAGTTATTTTTTAAAAAAACATTTTTACTCTGATACTCCCATACAAACTCATAGACTTAAACAAAGGCCCTAGAAAGTCTGAATCTTCATAGCATGGGCTCCTTAACATTCAGAAGCCTTGCTGGAAACACGGCACAGCTGTTAAGAGCACTCGCTGTGATTCCTGAAGACCTATGTTCGTTCCCAGCACCCACATGGCAGCTAGCAACCATCAGTAACTCTAGTTCCAGGAGATTTGATGCCCTCTTCTGCCCTCTGCAGACACTGCATGCATGATGTACACTTACATGCAGGCAAAACATATTAAAAAAAAACTACAATTTTTTTTTTTTTTTGGAGCGGGACTTGGTAGTACATGCCTTTAAATCCCAGCACTCAGGAGACAGAGGCCAGCCTCTACATAGCAGTTCCAAGCCAGCTGGGGCTACAGGGATATCCTGTCTCAAAATGACCAAAAAAAATTACACTTTTTTTTTTTTTTTTAAAGTTCTGTAACCACATTCTAGAGGATGGACCCACATCCAAGAATATTTGGGAAACACAAGCTGGAAACTTTTTTTTAAAAAAGGACATGACTTTGTGGGGAGGGGACAGATCTAAGAGATGGGGGAGGGTAATTAAATACAAAATATCAGTGTATGAAGTTCTCAAAGATTCAATAAAAAATATTTTTAAAGCATTCTGTGTTAAGTAAACTGAGTCCTAAGCACCGAGGCTCAACGCAGAGCAATGTTCCTGGCACTTCCTATTTCTTCCCAGAATTCTTTGGGGTTTGGCATGAAGAACAGGAAAAAAATTTAAATGTCACCTCAGCTACAGTGAGCAGAAAGGGGATTTGATGGACAGATTCTCCGCAAAGCTTGATTGACAAAAGAAAAAGAAATGACGCAATGGGTCAGGAAACTTCTGGCCTTTTTTTTACTTGTTTGTTATGTTGAGAATCATTTATACCTAGGAAAAAACTTTTTTTTTTAATGTGGCCTATATCTCTGCAAGAACACATTTACAGTTAAAATCCTCTGATCAATTACTCCCATCATTAGCAAAATGCATCTCCCAGCAAGATTGATTGTGTGCGGTTCATGGTGCAAGATGGAAAACCTTCAATTTGTCACATAAAAGGATCTGGGCCAGCATTTACAGAACAAGGCTCGTTCAAACAGGGTGGTTGTTGGCTCTTTTCCCTAACTGGATGCCCAGATCCCCAACCCTACTCTCACTGTTTGACACTGGCCTAAGGCTGAGTCTTGCTGGGTGTAAAACTCTGATGTGAACCTAAAGGGTTTAGGGTGTGCACACATTTTTTTTCTGCCTTCTTGCAGGCAGGCAGCTTGGTGCAGATCTGTGACAGTACCTCTTTTGGCTTGGAGGAGGCAGTGAGGACCAATGAAACACTGAAGGGAGCCTTCAGTCCACCAATACTTCTCGATTTCCTACTCCCCATCACCAGCTAGCTTCACTATCCGGAATTAAGGCTCAACCAGTTTTCATTTTTTTTCTCAGATTTGATGGAATCTGAATCCATTCACTTGGTATAGGAAAGCCAGTGGATCCCCCAGATCCTTCGACTGTGGGGCCAGGGTAGTGGGGTGACAGTGGTAGGCAAGGGGTTTGGAGCCAAGGGAAGCAGGCCCATGTCCAACATGGCTTCCCACCAGGAGGCTGTGGCTCTACCCTAGACAGTGATTCCCAAGACCCTCCCTTCTAGTGTCATAAACCCAGCCTAGCCAGGCACAAGGCGGCAATATACAGAGCTAACAAGAGAGGAGAAATCAAAGAACTAAACAGCAGGTCAATGAGTGTCAGCTTGTCCTTCAAGGACTCCCACCCAACCCCTCCAGTCCTAAAGACCTGGAAAATTCCCAAAGTGATACCGGGTTCCCAAACTTCCCAGAATTCCCGACGGTATCTGCAAATGACATCAAAGATGAGCACCGGTGACAGTGACCATCTCTCTTCACATGTCCACCATCTGCATCCCTGGAGATCTCCCTCGTATTTTTATGAGCAAAGATCCCCACAAGCCAGCCGCTGGGGTGCTCCAAGTCCCCTGGGAGCACTGCCTCAGCTCTTCTGCGCACAAAAAAGGAAAACTTGGGCCCTGCGACAATCCTGTGGAATGCTCGTTGCAATTAACCGAACATTAGCTTCCACTGCTGAAAAAAAAAAAAAAAGTGGGTTTCTTCGAAACGTTAGGACCGACGAACTGCGACCTCATCATCCGCCGCGGAGTCAAGAGGACCAGGAGAGGGGACGGTGGCTGAAACTTCAGGTCGCAAACGCAGAGCCATTCCAGGCTGGTCCCCACCCCACGGAGCCCACGGGTGCTCCCCGAGGACGCGCCTAAGCGCAGTCGAGAGTACCGGGAACGCGCCGCGCGCTCACCAGAGGATGAACCCCTCCAGCCCGCGTGTCGCTCACCGCTGAGGTGGGAAGGAAAGACCTCCAAGGGCTCTAAGCCCCAACCTCGCACCTATCGGACACCCGGGGGGGGGGCCCTGACTTCGCGGCTTCTAAGTGACCCAGTAAAATCCCCCTCTGGGTCCCTGCAAACGCCCGGTGACCAGGATGCTGCAATTTTTAACCGGGTGGTTTAAAACCTCCTCCTACCCTCGGCCGCTGCGCTGTCAGATTCGCCGGCAGAAGGTCCCCCCCGACCTGCCCTCACCGGAGACCACGAGCGACCTCCGCGTGGCTCCGGCCCACCCTCCTCCCAGGGTCTTTCCCGCGGGCACAGCTGCGCACCTTCTTCTAGAGTGCTGCGTCCTGGACACGGGCGACCCCTGTTGGGGACCCCTGTTCCCAGCCAGTCTACAAGCCTGCATTCTGGATGGCTCTTTTCCAGGCTCAGGTTCGCAGGCTTTCCGAAGGACGCCCAGAATGGCTCCGATTTTAACTCCACTCTTAGACTCTCCCAAGGCCCCCTCAGACCTCAGCCCCGCCACCGACCCGCGCTCGAACTCCCCAAGTCTAGCCCCGCCTGAGCGTCGGTCAAGGCTGGAGGGCGCCCCTCTAGGCAGCACTCCCGTGAGTGCTCAAACTGAGCAAGAGACGATTTCTTCCCAAATGCATTCATGCTCCATCCTTCATCTTCCTTGGAACACAAAAAACAAGTAACCTGGCAACTCGTAGGGTGGACCCCGCACGCCTTTTGAGGGGAGATCCTTGCTCCCGCACCTTCGGCAAGCCCGGGCCCTGGCCCCCAACCTCCCACCCTTTCAGGAAGCAAGCGGAAACAAGAGCCCTTCGGTAACAGTGACACATGCAAAATCTCCCCGTGCACACAAAATCTCCCAGCGCACACAAAATCGCAGACTACTGCATGCAGCAGGATTGCACCCGGCACCCTGGACAGTTAAGTCTTTTTAATAAGCACCTCCTTGCCCCGCCTATTCTTGGCTTTTACTTGCTCAGGATCCAACACTCAAGACGGAGAGAGCCAACTCGTCTCCTGGAAAACCGAAATTAATCATTCCCTCTGCCCTCATGTATTTTGCACCACGTGTCAGCAGTTTGTCACGTCAGATCGTAGCAGGGTCTGGTTCCGAGACACGCACACACATTGGCGGGGGGGGGGGTCCTCTTTAATACACACCTTCGCGACTGTACACACAGACATGGATCCACATGGACCCACAGGCACACAATGTAGCGGTGCCTCGGATGCCCTCGTCCCGGCTCAAGGCACCCTTCTACCCTGGAGCCTCTAGCAATGGACTTGATACAGATAAACCACGGAAAAAACTGGGGCGATTCGTTCCCCCTCTTTTTTCCCACTTAATTCGCTACAGCAGCTCCTGGAGTAACCAAAGAGTGTCGAAACCAAGGCGTGGCCACTTCGATTGGGTTTTTTCCCACCTCAAAACCTTTATTTTCAGTTTTTAAAGCCACCTTAGCCCGCCATATTGGAACTGGCACGGTGTCTAAAGACTCCTTCCCCGCTGCTGTAGCGCTTCCAAGAAAACACAAGTACCGACTGGACTGAGGACGTGTGTCCGGTCACCGCGAAACAACCGCTTCCCACCCCCAAAGCTCCCCCTTCCCAGCCGAATCCTCTCCAGCCGCCCCAGGTCCAAATCAACAAATACATCTAGCAGTTCCTCCCGTTGCTTTTGGGGGGAAGATTTCAGCAACACACACACATACACACACACACACACACACACACACACACACACACACACTCGCACATTAAAAAAATTAACTCCAAATCAGGCTAGTGATTCCGAAAGGCGGCAGAATAAGAGTCCACAGCACCAAAGCCCGAGTGACAGGGTATTACTTTCAGGGGGTGAAAAATGAACAAAAAGACCGCCCTTGCCTGAGCTCGCTCCGTAACTACTACTGACAATTACATTTGGCTGCACAGACAAATGTTTCCAACCCGGCGATTCCAAACGTCTACGCGATTTTGGACCCCCTTCCTTTGGGTCTCCAACCCCACCCCCCAACACCATCATCTCCCCTGCCCCCTAAACCTCCACATACACACCGAAAGGAGACCGGGGTGCCGAGGAGACGCGGGAACCCGGGGCGGCTGCAGAGGCGGCAGCGTCCCCAAAACCAGTGCACAAACGAGGAAGGTGGGTGGCGGGAGGGAACCCGCTGCGCCCGGAGGAGGAGGTCACTTTGCAACTCCTGACACACTCCTGAAAGACCGGGCTGTGCAGACCCGGGAGAGTCAACAGGGACGGAGACCAGGGAAGCCAAAAAGAACCAGAAAAGAAAGAAAGAAAAAAGGAAAAAATGACAACCCCGAGCGCAGGAGTTTGAGGCTTCGCTGTACGTTTCCTTCCAGCCCTTTCTCTCTGGTTTCTCTGCCCTCCTTCCTCCCCAACCCCCACCTCCACCCCCACCCCCGGGCTATGTCGGGCTTCCTT